ATATTTTTAAGTGATTAAAAAAGTTATAACTTGCTACATAATATTAAAAAAATTGAGTACATTTGATTCACAATATAGTTCTCTAACACAAATTAAACTATGTGTTGATAACAATTTTTAAATCGTGATGAATCATCTAATAAAATAGTTACATAAAATAACTTATATATATATATATATATATATATATATATATATATATATATATATATATATATATATATATATATATATATATATATATATATATCTGTGTGTGTGTGTGTGTGTGTGTGTGTGCGCGCGCGCGTGCGTGTGAGTGTGTGTGTATGTGTGTGCGTGCGTGTGTGCGTGCGTGCATGCGTGCGTGCGTGTGTATGAGTGTGCGTGTGTGCGTGTGTGTGTGTATAATATAATAGAAAATATATATAAAATGAATGATTTAAAATTTGATATGAAAAATATAATAGGATGATTAAAAAATGAACCTTAATAAACATAAAAAATAAAAAATGAAATGATTATAATTTATATTAAATGATAAAAATACGAAAAATAATTTAAAGGTGGAGAACAATTATAATACTTTGATGAAAGCAACAAATAAAAATCATACAAAAGGGAAGAAGTAAACGAAAGAAAATGAATAATATTGAAATACCATAAAATAAAACTGAGGATATTTTAGTAAATATAATCATTTTTGAAATATTAAAGTTCAGATCCCCTCCTTCCAAATCCCATCAATTTTGGGGGACACAAAAAGTGTGTTTTGGAGGGGATTTACTTCCCTCCCCTCCCATCCCCTCATAAATTTTGAACCAAATACATTTAATTAAAAATATTTTCTCCCCTCCCCTCCCCTTCGTTTACCTCGAATCAAAAACACAGACACATTATTTTCATTTGTCCTAGTGACATAGGCATTTATAGGGGCATATAAATTTTTTCAATGTTTTTTGTAAAGTATGAAGGAGGATGTCCTTCTTTGCTCTTATGACTTTTCTTAATAAAACATAACATGACAATGTGTCCTTCTTTATTAGAGTAGTTGCATTTTAAGGTTTTACAATGAAAGATGGATTTAGCATTATAAATATTACTAAAGTTCTTACTATTACTCTTGGACACTTAGCAGAAGATTCAAGCCATACATTTCCTTGGTAAATTTGAAAAGTGTCTTTAGAATATTGCAAATTTCATTTCATTTTAAGTGTTTTTTGAAAAGTGTTAGGCTCATCATCTTTGTTTGAAGTGGAAGAGTTTTAAACTGGATTATTTTGTCTTTCTTTAAGGATTTCTATTTCTCTTTCATGGTTTTTATTTTTAAGTTCAAGAGAGGAAATAATATCGTTGAATGTTGAGACAATTTGTTCCAGTTTTCTTGTTTCTTTTGTTAGTTTCTTACAAATGCGAAAAAGATCATGAAGAAGAGGTTACCTCATCTTCTAGATAATTTTCCATGAGAAAATGTTGGCTTCTTCTTCATCATCTGAGAATTTCATATCATTGTCTTCCCATGTAACATAATATTTTTTGCTCTTTTTGAGGTTTCTTATATTTCTTTTGATTTTTTTTAGCTAAGGACAATTTGGCATGATGTGTCCTTTATTTCCGCATGTGTAGAATGTTGGGATTAATGGGAGTTTTTCCTCATCTTTTTTCTCGTTCCTCTTTTTGTTTCTTTTCATGTATTAGGAATCTTTTCAAGTTCTTCACTATAAGAGACACGTCACCATCAGATTTAGATTCCTCACCTTTGAGTGCTAGAATTTTACTTTTCTTTTCTCCTTCCTCGTCCATGGCATGTTTATTTAGTTCAATCTCGTGTTCATGCAATTTTCCATAAAGAGTGTGTCTGTGTGTGTCCATAGTCGCTAAATCTTTAGATTCACATATCGCAGTGATTTTGGATTTCCAGCTATGGTTTAGACATCTAAGGATTTTTACAACTACTTCTTCATTTGAAAATGTTTTTCCATGATTTCTCTTTAGGTTTTATTTTGAAGGTTTCATAATCATGGGTTAATATGCCTAACATTTCCCTCTTTACCTCAGTAGTTCCTTCATGTGTAATTTGGAGGATGCCTCACATTTCTTTTGCAGTCACGCAGTGACAAACTCGAAAAAATTCATCATAACCGAGAGTGATAGTGATGAAAATTTTTGCTTTCAAACTGATTTTCACATTTCCTTTATCATCTTTGGTCCAATCCTTTTTAGGTTTATTCACTACAACATCATTTACTTCGGATGTAGGAACAAATGAACCTTCATTCACAACCTTTCTAATACCATGATCCATCCCTTCTATGAAAATTTTCATTTTCTCTTTCCACAAATTAAAGGATATGGGTTTGTTTAGTGAATAACTTTAAGACATTTTCCTCCTAGGACAGTTAGTGTTTAACAGGAGTTAAACTCTGATGTCATTTCTTAGACAAGTGACTTCAAGCACGAGAGGGGGGTGAATTATGATATTCAAAATTTATGATTAATTTTAAGATTTAATTACTTAAGAAATAAGTTGTGTTAGTATTCTTTAAGATTAAAGTAAAATAAACAACAGAAAGTAAAAAGGATATAACTTGCAAAAATAAAGAGATAAGGGTTTAGAGATATTGCACAATGGATTTATCTAGGTTCGGACAAACGTTTGCCTACTTCTGTTCGCAAGAGATCTTCTTGAGATTTTGACTATGAAGTTAAGATTTTATAGGTTATGCCCATGAACCTTTAATACAATTGAATCCAAATATTTTACAATGGTTTATCCCCAACCAAAAAGAAAGCTTTTACCTTGGTTGAGCTAAGAAACTATTAGAGATTTTCCAAGCTAATCTCAAGAACCAAGCAGGACTTTTTCTTGACTAAGTTCTAGAACCAAATAGGGATTTTAAGAGTGGTTATTCCAAAGAACCAAACTCAATTTCTAAAGAATATCGTACTTTTGAGAATAATAAAAACAATATGATGCCAATACAATTTCCTCACAAGTAAATTTTCACTCGAAGGCACCAAGGAAACTTAAGTTGATTTTTTTTAGAGAGAGAGAGAGAAGAGAGATATGTTCCCTAGAAATATAGAACTTCAGAGATTTTGTGTGAAATGAAGAAGAGGGGCACCTCTTTTATATAGGAAATGAGAAAGCTAAAAAGGAAACGATCTACGGACATTTTTAATGGCCCAATTGAATGGCTCTTTTCCCAACTGATTAGATGAGAAAAATAATTGAATATTGTGGCCCATTTTGGAAAGTTTGGATAAAGAGTCGTTTTCAATTATTAAGACATTGTCACAATAATTTATATAATTGATTTTCCTTCTTCCAATCGATTGGATAGTTCGAAAAAGATTCAAAAGAGGTATGACAATTTCCTAATCAACTGGCTTGGGCTTGGAAACATTTTAAAGAGTTTTTATAGATAAAAAGGGTTTCAAAAGTGCTTTTAAGTGTGTGTGTGTGTGTGGGGGGGGGGGGGGGGGGGAGGGGTGAGTGTGCGTGTGTGTGTGTGTGTGCATGTTTGAGTGTATGCGTGGATGTGTGTATGTGTGTGTGTGTGCGTGTGTGTGTGTATGTGCGTAGGTGCATGTGTGTGTGTGTGTCTGCGGGTGTGTGTGTGCATGCGCATGCGTGTGAGCGTGTGTATGTGTTTGCGTGTGTACCCATGCATGTGTGTAAGTTTTCTTAGTTTCTTATAGGTTACTCTTCTACTTTCACAAAACTATGGCCACTCACACAGACACGACCATGCGAGATTTCACACTTTCTCTCTTTCACAATTCAGAGGCTTTCAAAATCCTTTGACAAATGTATTGATCATATAAGCACTTTAATAGAATATTGAGTCCTTTACTTGATGAGACTTGAGATGTCTTTAAGTTTGATCATGGTCATCAGAGAGTTGGAGAAGTATCACCACCAACTTTAACAATCATTGGTGTTGTCCTCATTAAAACACGAAGAAGGTTCTTAGCAAGATCATCAGTTTCATATCTGCAAGCACACATATCTCATGGCCTTGGAGTGCTTGTTTAGAAAACTAAGAATCAGAAAGACTTGAAGTTGTCGAAGGGACTAGATTTTATAGCGGAGAGGCAGAGGGAGGAGTCACTCAGATAAGATCATCCTCTACCGTAGGAGGAAGTAGAATATCCCTTGTAAGATCGGGATCATTGAGTGTTGTAGCGGCCACAATGACAATGTTGCATTGAGCGACTGATCAAGTAGAATTTGATATAGCGGTTATTTTACGAGTTTTATCGATGGTCCAAGCAAGAAAGAGATCAGATGCTTGTCGAGTTGTGGTGAAGATGTGATGGTTTCTCATGGAATTTAATGGGAATTAAATGTCAGTTTCTCACATAAGACACCGATATTCCGTTCAGGAACTAGAAATAGTTGACGATAGAGTGAGATCAAGTTCAAATTTGATAGATTAAGATGGATCAGAAAGGTTAATTCTCCAACGCTCAAATAAATGAATGAATGTAAAATAATTTGAGTATGAGAATAATAGAATACTTGAATCTGACGTATGCAAAATTTTATAATATTTAGACGGTTAAAACTACTTCCGCTTAGTTAATATTTTATATAGATCACCATCTAATCAGATGTAAATGTGGAAAGTTGGCATAAGCAATATAAATAATAAATATTTGACCACGTATAGAAATATAATTAAATAATTAAATATTTCTACTATTTAGTCTTTAAATTCGATAATCCAAATTTTTATCTTATTTTGGTATGTAATGCTTTGTAGACTTGTATTGCCAATCGTTACAACCCTCCAAAACTCCTTACCATTATATTATTAATAATTAATAAATAACTACTATAAATAATAAAAAATATTTGCCCACATACTAATATAGAAATATATAATTAAATATTTCAACAATTTAGTCATTAATTGAATTTGATAATGATAATCCAACCTTTTGTGTTAGTTTGTTACCTATATATAATAGGATTATTCTCCAAAACTTTTTACAATTATTCGAACCTTCATTCCATGGACACCAAAAGCTCAAAAACACACTCACCATTATTATCACCAACTTCAAATAGAAGCCCCAAAAGAAAAAGCAATAATGCATGCACTTCACCAGAATTTGAATTCTGGATGCCAAGAAATTTATCATTACCACACCCCAACATCCTTTCCGCCGATCAACTCTTCCTCGACGGTGTCATCCTTCCCCTCCATCTCATATCCACCAAACCTGATCCGAAACCCGACGACTCTGATCAGGTACCCAACTCATCTCCTGCCATAACCGATTGCTCAACCATCACCACTATTTCTAAACGATGGAAAAATATCTTCAGTAAGAAAAACAACAACAATACAGAAGAGAAAGTGAAGAAGAAAGAGAAAAACATTGGAAAAGGTGGTTGCGGTGGTGACTCTTCTTCATCTGAACGTTACATCAATATATGGCCATTCTCTCGGAGTAAGTCAGCCAAAAACTCTGTCACCCGACCTAAATCAGCTCCGGTTTCCCGGAAAGTAAACAGTGCGCCGTGCTCTAGAAGCAATTCCGCTGGAGATTCAGATTCAAAGTCAAGGAAGTTTCCTAGTAGTCCAGGTCGGGTGGGAGTCCATATAGGGAGGAGCAGCCCCGTTTGGCGTCGTGGAGGCTCCATCGGCAAGAACACAGAGCCACTGAATATGAAAACTAATAAGAGTCACCGAAAAAGGCTCGCTGCATCCTCCGCCAGTGGTGGTGGTGGTAATGCCAAAGCACAGGTTTTGAATTTGAATGTTCCGCTGTGTGGTGGGTACAGTCATAGGTTGGGCTGCAGAATCGAGGAGAGCAGTGGTAGTAGTAAGCTTTTTAATCTGCGCAACTTCTTCACCAAGAAAACCGTTCTAACAGTGTGATTTTTGTTTTAGTGATGCGATACGGTATAGTGGTGTGTGAGCAAGTTTACTACTACTAGTGTGAGTTTATTCTTTAAGGTCTAATTTAAATTTTGTTAGATGCAAGCAATTGTTGGTTATTGCTAATGGATTTATTTTTCATTTTTTGTAAGCCTTTTCTTTATGTTGTTGTATAAATATAAATTAAGGGAAGTTTCGAGTATATAATTTTCTTAATGTGTTTTTGTATGTTGCTCTATGAATTAGGTTTTGGAAGATGTAAATTAACTAGTCTGATTAAAAAAAATGCATGGTTTTATTTTAGTATGTAGTTTGTCCAAGGCATAAATTTAAATTTGAATGTTTTTTCAAAATTCTGATACTACAAGATTAGTCTAATTTAAAGTTTATTTCATATGAATGTATTATAAATTTAAATTTGAATATAACTTTTAAAAAAATATGATACAATTGAATTAGTCTAATTTAAAATTTATTTTATATTAATGTATTGAAATAACTTAGAGCACAAAGTTGAAGATGAAAAAGATGAAAGAAAGAAAAAATTGAGTAACTAATTTTTATTCTAATTGAAGGAAAAAACGATTATAAAATTCGGTTACAATCTAAACTTGAGTTCGGTAATTATATCATCAGAACTAATAAATGAAATTCAAACAAAAATTTAAATGTTACTTAAATGTGAATTTGGATTACACTTCAATATCACCCCTTAATCTACATTCAAGACTAAAATCAACAATATCAATCACATCACTCAAATGAAAATAGTATTTAGTCTTAATAACTTTAATCAACACATTTGCAAGTTACTTTTGAATGCTACGGCGAACAACCTCAAACACTTCATTCTAAACCTGATTGCACAGAAAATAGAACTTCGTGTCAATGTGCTTGCTCATTCCATGCAACACTAGATTCTTGGCTAGACTTATAGTTTATTTGTTGTCAATCATCAACCTTACAGGCTTGCTTAGCTTGATCTTTAGATCCTGCAATAAGTTCATAATTCAAATAGCTTGACACGCGGACAAAACACCTACAATGTATTCAACTTCACAGGTTGACAATGGAACCACTGGTTGCTTCTTGGAGAACCAAGAAATGGGACCTCCCAGATACTCGAAGAAATATCCAGAAGTACTTCTTCTGTCAATTCTGTTTCCACACTAATTAGAGTCAGAATAACATATCAATTATGAATCAAAATTTTCACCATAAGAGAGCAAAACTCAGTACCTCAGAGTCACCTTAATATACCTCGATATCTTGATAGAAGCTTTGTAATGTGACCACTTTGGTTTGTTTATAAACCTACTCATCATTTCAACTGCATAGCAGATGCCAGGTATGGTGTTACGAGGATATCTCAATGAGTCCACCAACTATTAAAAAGTTGTAGCATCTACATCATCATCCTTAACATTAAAATCCGACTTGTGATTTTCTTCAGTAGGTGTGATTGCAGACTTTCAATTTATTATCTCAAATCTCTTCAGAAGCTCAAGTTCATATATAAACTAATACAAAATTATACCCTGATCAGAGTACAAAATCTCCATCCCTAAAAAATATACCATACTTTCAAGATCAGTCATCTCAAACTTATTCATCGATACCTTCTTGAACTTGATTATCTTATCTGAACAACTCCTTGTTAGCAATATTTCATCAACATAGAGACACACTAGAATTATATTGCTATCAGATGTATGGTGAACATAAACATCATACTCCATCTCATATTTTATGAATACTTAAAGCTTGAAAAATGAATCAATTTTTAGATTTTAAGCTCTATGAGCTTGTTTTAGTCCATACAAAGCTTTATGTAACTTGTACACCATAAACTCTAGGAGCTTGATTCTTCTTCCCAAATCCAGAAGGTTATGACACATAAACTTTTTCTTGTAAATGATTATTCAAAAATGCAGATTTCACATCTAAATACATCAAAGGCCGATTTCTATTAGCAGTTATAGCAATCACCAATTTGATTGTTTCATACCTATCTACAGGCGCAAACAACTCAAAGTAATCTAATCTAGATTTTTGTAGAAATCCTCTAGATACTAACATTTCTTTATTTTTGTCGATTTATCCATCTGGCTTCAATTTTAACTTGTAAACACATCTCACACTGATGGCTTTCTTATTCTTTGGAAGCTCGGTCAACTCCCAAATCTTGTTTCTTTATATAGCCTCAAGTTCTTCTTTCATGGCCTTCAATTAACTTTCTTCTTGAGAGCTTCTTCAATACTAGCTGGTTCAGAGTCTACCAACATGGCACACCGAATGACTTCCTCTTCAGAGTTTATCTTAGTATCTTACAACATGTCAGACTCTGCAAATCTTCTTGATATTTGTCTGATTATTTATGGTCTCTAAACTTGTTCATAATCTTCTTCAGATGCTGGAACAATATCAAATGATGTACTACCTTTAGAGGCTAGACCACCTTCAGAAGCACGATCACCTTCAGAGGCATGCTTACCACCAAAGTCTAGTTAAACACCAGAGTCTAGATCATAAATAAATTCACCTTCAGAATCTTCTTCAGACTCATCGTCAGACTCAACTTCAGCATCAGAGTCACGTTCAGACTCTAACTCATCTTAATAGGCAAAATCCCATTCATAAGCAGATTCTCCTTGAGAGTCTGAAATATCTTCAGAAGTTAACTCAGGTATTAACATTACACCAGAGTTGGGTTGAGACTTATTACAATCCTATGCTTATGTTTCCTTCACAATGGCATCTATGTTGAATTCCAATTTATTGGTGACAGGACAGTAGAGGTTATAAGCACATGTACTGTGGTATACTACAAGCAATATGATTCTGCTTCCATCATCCAACTTCCTTCTCTTAGCATCTGGGACATGTTTATAACAAACAGAACCAAACACCTTTAAATAGCTCACACTTTTCTTATCTTCAGTCCACTTCTCAAAAGAAACAGTTCTCTTCAGCTTCTTGGTTGGACACTTGTTGAGCACATTTGTTGTAGTAGCACCAATTTCTCCCTGTAAAGTGTGAGTGAGCTTCTTCTCCTTTAGCATTCTCCTTGTCATATCAAGCAAAGTCATGTTTCTTCTTTCAACAAAACCATTGTGTTATGGAGTATATGGAACAGTCACCTCATGTTCAACTCCATTATCTTCACAAAACCTTCTTGACTCTGATGAGTTATATTCATCTCCACCATCAGTTCTAAGAATTTTTAGCTTATGACCACTTTGTTTTTTAGCCTTCACCTTGAACTTCTGAAACTTATTAAACACTTCATGCTTAAACATAATGAATCATTCTTTTAATCAAAATTTCACATTTCTTCACTCTATCTTCAATTTCATCCTCACTACAAGTTTGATTGGTATAAAAAATGTTAGAAGAGAGAAAGAAACTAATCAGACATAACATTTTATTTTCTTTATTTCTTTTATACAAAACATTAACTCAAGTCTTCTTTATTTCTTACATCTTTCTATCTTCTTTCACTTTCTATTACCCATTTTTTATTCTTACTTTTCTTTTCATAACTAACCACACTTTTAAAGAGTGCCCTCATAACTAATCGATGCAAAAAGAGCTCGCTTAAATTTTTTGTTTGTTTTGTAAATTCTCTATAAAGTAGTATTCGATTGTCTTAGAAGATTTATCAACACACATTATTGGTTGACTCTCCTTCTAACAATCTTACCAACTCTTCTAACCGTAGTGTATTTTTGCATACTAGCATTGCCTACACTAGTGGTTTATTAAAGATAAATATGTGAAATGTTGCAGATTCGAACATGCTTCTCTGTATTTAATCGTCAAACTATTTTGATTAATGTGAATCACATATACTTGTTTTCTGATAAATTCCACATTTTCACAAATTTTCAAAAATTTCTTGTAACACATTCCCTTTAATATGCGGAGCAGGATGAATTGGATTGTGTGCTAACTTTTTTTAAAAATTCAATCACTTTTATTATTTTCATCTTATTTGATTTTTTATTTTTCAAAACACAATAAAAATTATGTTGAACTAAATAGTTTTGGATCGTGCTATAAGAAGAAATTTATTATTCCATCAAATGCATGAGCATCTAACTTTAATCTAACAATCACAAAACACAAATAAAGTGATAATTAATCTTTCTTAAAATAAATGATGCATTATTTTAAATGAAGGATCACCGCTAAGAATGGGAATAAGTTAGATCAATTAAAAGGGGTCTACGGTCTAGCCTATAATAATTTATGTCAGGTCAGATTTTATGAAATATAAAAAGTATAGACTTTTTAATAAATCTATTTATATTAAAAATGCTTGGTTAAGGCTATAAAAAAAAGCTTTTAAATCTGTCAGACCAACTTATTTAAATAAATATGAATAAAATTATTATTATTTTTATATTGTATCTTATACTTTAAGTTAAAATACAAAAATAAAACTTAATTATCTTAAGTAACTTTTGAAAATAAGTTTAAAAAACCTCAGGAACAATGATATAAATTGTTTACATAAGTTTTCTCAAACAAATATTATCATAAAACACATAGTACTAGGTCAACTCAAATAAGTCAATGTAACCAAATATTTAATATCATTCATGTTTTAATTTGTTAGTCTATTTAAATATTGTTAGGTTGTTTGCTTTATGGCTGGCTACATTTTGTTAAAACAAGTATTCTAGTGAGATGTTGTACCAGATGTTTTGACATGTTGGTGCGATACTGAAGCATTTTTTTTTACATTCTTGGAAGATTTGTTTTTAAGCGTGAGATCTTTGAAGATTTGATCCACATATTTTATGGTCCAAGAAGTGTGGGTTTTTAGATGGAAAGGTCAGTTTTATCTTTGCCTTGTTTTCTAAGAAAGAGTGATAAATCATTTAAGGAAATATTATATTTGATTTGGTTTAATTTAATTTGATTCTGCCGAAGATTGTGCAGCAACTGTATTTGAATCTACATTTAAGGAAACAAATATGTTCTCTTCCATAATA